GCGGACCTCGGAACCAGGTGCAGGGACCAGGGCCCGGGGCGCGCAGGCCGGGCTCTTACCGGTGGAGGTGGCGGCAGTGGACGCGAAGGACGAGCTGCGGGAGAACGCGGAGCGCGGGCCGGCTGCGGCGAGTGAGACCGAGCGCAGCCTCCCCCGCCGCTATTTAAGCGAAGCGGGACGCGCGCGCGGGCCGGCGGCGCGCGCGGCCCCAGAACATGTCCATATATGGCGATCTTTCCGAACGCCGGGCGTCCATTGGCTCGCCCGGCCGGGACACGTGGGGCCCCGTGCCCGGCACCGCCCCCCGCCCGCACCGCCCCCAACGGCCCCGCCCGCGCCGCCCCCGCGCGCTGCGGACCCCGCGCGCGAGACCCCGCGGGGACCCCGCGCGCGAGGCAGGGCGGGCGGGTGTTCCCCGGGGGTCGCGGGCCGGGCTGCGGGTCCGACTGGCCAGCCCCGCCCCGGGACTGCTATGCTGTGGGGGAGGGCCCGGCTGCACCCCGAAACTGCCTGGCCCAGGGCTCGGCCGCGCCCCAAGCCGGGGTGTGTCCCCGCGGCCCGGCCCCACGGGTGGGGGGCTTTGCCCCCGCGCGCCCCCTGCGAGCTGCACCCCGAGGCTCCTCAGAGAGCGTGGGCTGCGAAGGCCGACGCTGGGCTGGGGGAGGGGCGGGCGGGGCTTCCCCGCCGGTCGCCCTTGCGGCGCCCTGGGCCCCGCGGCCCCGAGGAGCCCCGAGGAGTCGTGACCTCGTCTCCGTGATGAGGGCTGGGAGCCGCCTGTCCCCCATCGTGGCCAACCACCGCGCAGGTCCCTCCGCCGGAGGAGGGGGCGCCCTGCCTGGGGTCCCTGGCGGTGCGGAGACAGAGGCTTCGTTCTAGCCACCGCCGACGCTTCCTGCCTCTCAAACCGCAGGCCCGATTGTCCCCAGGAGCGGGCTCTACTCGGGGTTTGGGGCCATTCCCCCATCCACTGGGGAGGGCTTTGTTTTGTTTTAAGCTTCTGTGCATATTATAAGGAAACTGAGGCAGGAAAAGGACGTTTTGACTGTGCGGACGGTCGACTTTCCGCTAGAGTTGGTGGGCACCCTCTGCTTACGATACTAGAGAGAGCCAGGGTGGGAGTGGGACCAGGCCGTCCCGCTGCTGCCCGACCCCGGGTCGCCAATAGGCCGGCCCCGCCCGCCTGCCCTGGGGTTGTGTGTTCTCCCGGGTCCAGGGCGTCCCCTTTTCCCCAGGAGCCTGAGCTGGAAGACCAGTCCTCGCGAGCAGGGCCCTAGCCGCACCTGCTGGCGCCAGTGTTTTGGTTATGCCCAGAGGGGAACCAAAGACTATGATTTCTTTGGGTTGATTTGTAAGCTTTTGGAAGTACTCAGAATGAAACGTCAGAGGAGGCGTGGGGAAGAGCACCAGGCCAAGAGTGGTGGCGGTGGGGCCAGGCTGAGTGAGGCCAGGGACTCACACAAGGTCCCCGGGGCGCTCAGCTTGACCCGGGAAGGTGTCTGACAGTGGGGGGGGCGGGGCCGGCCTCCCCTAGAGCCCTGCAAGGTGAGCTGGTGGCCGTCTATGGATGAGGACGATGGGCCCAGAAGGTAAAGCAGCTGCCCAGTTCACCTGTGGACTGCAGTCCCCCAGACACCACGGCCTTGTCTGTGGCCACCCGTGCCCCCAGGACTAGCTGGGTCCCCGACTCCCCAGGCTTTTCAGGGGTAAGGCTGCTGTCCGTCAGGTGTGTGCCCCACCTATGGGAGAACCCCGGGCTGGGCCTCCGTAAAACCCATCCCTACTCGCGGCCACTCGCGCCCGTGGGCACAATCACGGCCTGAGGACAACCCCCAGGTGGGGGTGTCCGTGATGTAAGGATGACTTCCACTTGGGGCTCCCAAAATGTCACACACAGGACACAGGGAAGGTGGGAAGTGCTAAGGTCTCCACGTCCTGTGTCCGCCCACCCCACGATTCCACTCAGGCCTCTGACTCTGGCTGGGGGGGCACCTGTCTCTCCTCCAACTCCAGCTACCCCTAGCACTCCTTTGTCTGGCGTGCTTGAAGGGGTAGCCACTTCTGGGAACAGATGGGGAGGGAGCAGACACCCACAGACCTCTGTCCCCGCCCCCCTTCCTCCCTCCGCACCTTGCAGTCCGCGGGAAGCCGGGTGCTCAGCCCCAGGGTCGCGGAGGTGAGTGGGGCGGGGCCCGGGAGCCCGGCCCTACCCCCCCCCACCCGCGGCGCCGGGCTGCGGGGGAGGGGCGGGCGCTACTTCCCCTTCCGCGGTGTGTCACCGGCGGGGGGGCAGGTGGGAACGACAAGGTGCGGCCGCAGGTGTGCGGCGGGGGGCGGCGGCACGCGCGGCGCGGTGCGGCCATATTTGGCGATTTCGGCGCCGCGGGAGCCCCGCCCGCCGCCCGGGAAGCCGCGGCCCGGGCAGCCCCGTCCCCGCCCGCCGCCGGCCCTGAGTCACCGGCCGGGCGGGGGTGGAAGTAACGGACTGGGGGCGCTGGGCGCGCTCCTCGCCTTATTTAGTCAAGGAGGCCGCCGATTGGCCAGCGGAACAAAGGGGCGGTGGCGGGCGGCCGGGGCGGGAGCGGAGGGGGCAGCCGCGGCCCCCCACCCCCACCCCCGGCTCCCCGCGAGCCCGCAGCTCCGCGGCAGGCCTGGCCGCGACAGTGGGGGTGGGGCTCCGTGTGCCCCGCCGCCCCGGGTCCGGTGGCCGCAGGAGGCTGGGGGGGCGGATGCGGGGCTGGATGCCTGGCTGGGGGAGGAGGGGAGTGACCTTCTGGGAAGCACCACCGGAAGCCAGGGATACGTGGACGCGGTGGGGCCCGGCTCCAGGTAGAACTGGGCCCGCTGGCCCGGCGCAGGGGGATGGGGGAGCACCGCCTTCTGCACTGTGATTTTTCTGTTTTGCAACGGGGCAGTACGAGGCCTCGCCCAAGGTCACCTCGGGGCTGTGCTCTTGGAAGCTCAGGGCCGTCCCCACCCCGCCCGGAGCGGGAGAGGGCCTGGCGTCCCTGGGGAGGGGACCGCGAGGACGCCGCAGCCCCTGGCTCCGGCGAGCAGGGACGCTCTGGGCAGGAGGGAGAGAGTCTGCACTTGCCCTCCTGCCCAAAAGCGGGTGCGTCCTTTCCATCTTGAGGACAAGCTTGGGGCTCAGAGAAATGATGTGATTTTTTTTTTTTTCCTAGCTCATTGCTGGCTTTAGGGGATTTACTGTGACTTTGCTGCATCTCATTTTATCTCCCATGCATTTAATGGCTGAGAAAATAGCCGGGCAGGGAAGTGGTATCACCTTGCAGGTAACTGGTGGAGCTGAGAATTAGCGCTCCAGTCCTGGGCACTGCCTGGCAACCCACACCAGCCTGTCATCTCCCTGCGCCTAGGACCTCTGCCTGCACCTGGGAGCATGGCCTGCAGCCCACCAGCACCCCACCCCCCGTCCTGCCCCAAACACTCTCCCTCACCCCTGCTTGCCTCCCACCTCTAGCCACCTCCCAACTAGTCATTACTTGTCAGGCAGACAGGGTAGGTAATGGGCCACTGCTCCTAGCCTTTGCCGCTGCCATTCCACCTGCCTGGAAAGCCTTTCCTTCTCCATCCAAATGCAATGTGGGAACCTGAGTTGGATCCTGGAACAGAGGAACCGGTGAGGTCCGAGGAAAGTGTGGAGTTTAATACCAAGTGCCAAAGTTAGTCTCGATGACAGATGAACCACGCAGGCCTAAGTTGTTACAATAGGGAAACTGAGTGGGGAGCCTACAGCAAAGCTCAGACGGTCTTTGCCACTTTTCTGTAAATTTAAAATTGTCTCATAATAAAAACTTCATTTTAGAAAACCCAAGGGAAACCAGTTTCTCTATCCTTAGGTCACTGTCTTATTCTCCTGGCCTGTGGACAGATCAAATCCTTGAAGATGCTTCTGTAGCCACCTGCAGGGCCCTGGGCAGGCTCCCTCGGGGAGGGGAAGGGAGGGGAGGGGAGGGAGGGGAAGGGAGCAGGCTTCAGCGGTGCAGTCTGTTTCGAACAGTGGTCCTGAGGGCTGCCCTGGTAGGCAAGGCCAGGTTCCTGCTGGCTTGGCCTGCTTGCCTCTGAGTTTCAAGTCCAAGGGCAAGGTCAGAGCCACATACTTCTGTGTCTGGACTAGTGCCCAGCCGGGGCTCGTTCGCCCGCCAGCGCTGTGCACATGCAGCACAGTTGGAAGTGAAGCCTCCTGGCGGCTGGCTGGTGATTTGGTCCCATGCACGCTGTGCCAGGTGGCGTGGGCTCATCACCACCACTCTGTCCTGCTCCAGGGAGCCCTGGGCCAGGCCTCCGTGCACTGTCCTCTTCTTGCCACCTGGGCAGGTACCACGAAACTATGCCATGTTACAGGTGGGGAAACAGGCTCGCGGTGTGGGGAGTCAGGTGTGCAGAGACACCCAGGCCAGGAGTCCTGCACTACCCCTGTTCCGGCAGAGGAGGGTTCCAGGCTTTTCAAAGACAGGCCCCAGTGGAGTTTCTCTCCCCACCCTGGTGTAGCAGGAGCCAAGGAGGCCCCTAGAAGAGCAGCGGGCTAAGAGTCAGGACCTGGGCTCTGGGCCAGGCTCAGCCCTATGCCAGCTGTGCCCTCCCCATGCCTCAGTTTCCCTAAAGAAGTGGTCTAGTGACATGAAGGTAGTGCGGCCTATCAGAGGCTCTGAGGCTGGTGGTCCTCCTGCACTGGATGACAGGTCTAGGGACAGGAGGCCATGGGGCAGCCTTGTGAATCTCCCCATCCCCAAGGCCCTCACTGCTGTTTTCCCGGCCTCTGGCTTTGACATCCCAGTGTGTTCAATTTTTGGTTAAGAGACACTCAGCCCCTCTGTGTGTCAGGCCCAAGATTCCTGGGACTGGTGGCCTTTGATGGAGCAGTTGGCTCCTTGCTTTGCTTCTGAGGACACATTTCTAGGCCTCGCTTCCCTGGGCCTCAGCAGACACGCTCCCTATACCACGGGGTGGGGGTGCAGGCCCCAACACGGAGGTCCATCCAGTAGTGCTCAGTCTGTCTGCTCCTCACCTTTGCTGCACACACTGCCAAGAATGATTATGTCTCGGATGCAGCATGGCCCCCCCCACAGCTGCCTCCCCCAGAGGTCACCACTCTCGTCCGGACAGAGTTCTTACCCTAAGTGAGCTGCACCCACAATCTGCAACGGCAAACCAAGGGTTAAACCGAGGAGTCCAGGCCTCCGGCTTCTTCACAACATGATCCCACCTCTGCACGTGGCTAAAGCCAGAAACAGAGGTGCCAGCCGGCCTGGCAACAGCATATCTGCCCTGCTGTCTGTCCAGCCCAGCTGCCTGCCTCCTACTTCCCCACAATTAATGTTGCCAGTCAGGTCCCCCTGCTCCTGCTGCCGGAAGCCCTGGTGGTGGGCTCTGCCTGACCCCACCCTTCACCTACTGCATCCCTTGCTCACTGCCCTCCCAACTCCAAGCTAGTGCCTGGCTGTTCCTCTGCCAGAAAAATTCTTCCAGTTGGGCTGCCTCTTCCCTGCAGGCCTCCAGGCCCTGCACTGGCCTCAGGTCCAGTCTCCCCACCTCCTACCTGAGTAGTGGTTCTTCACTGTTTGTCCCCACCCTCTGCCCCAGAGTGTAGGTTCCCAGGGCACAATGGTGAAGCTGGTGTCCCCTGTGACTGGAATAGAGCCTGGCACCTACAGGGCAGCAGAGAGCATGAAGGGAGGGAGGCAGAAGGAATGAAGAGGGAGGGGCTCCCAGCCCGGAAGGGACCTTCCTTGAGGGGCTGGCCCTGCGGTCCCCCTACCCTGACTCCAGTGTGCAAAAAGGGGGACATGTGTCTTGGGCTGAGAAGGAAGCCCCAAGGTCTGACTGCCCCCTGGGACCCTGTCCCCGCACCTCCCTCCCCCGGCGCTGGTTGGCTTTCGGGGCTGCAGGGGACAGTGCTGAGGTGGTGGGGAAAGGCACAGAGAAGGTTCAGGCTAACCCCGTACCTCCCGCTCCGGCCCCGGATTTTGGGGAGCGCGCCCGGCCGGCCGAGCTCTCCTCACTTAGACTAGGTCAGGGCCCCGCGCGGCAGGTGTCCCCACCCCCAGGACGCCAGGCGCCACTCCAAGGACTAGGAGGCGGATCAGGGCGGGAACACGGGCGGAGGACGGGGCTCTGGGCGCTCCGTCCTCCCCGCCACTGTCCCGAGGCCTGGCAGAGTGGGAGGAGGCAGGGCCAGGCTGGGGTCGAGCCGGGGCTCCGGTCGGGTCACCGGGTCTTTCGCGGAGCCCTCCTACCTCCGCCCGGCTTCCCAGGAAAGGCTCGCGGCGCTCCGGGGGCGGGTCCGGCGAGGGACGGGCGTGGCTACGCTCGGCCCCGCCCACCCCGCCGCTGGCTGGGCGCGGGCCCGGGAGCGAGGGTCGGCTGCTGAGGGGCGCGGAGGAACCCCTGTGGGTGGGCCTCCCGGCGCTCGCTCACAGGCCGCGCCCGGGGCCACGTGTCCCAGTTTGGTCAGGGGGGCGGTGCCCGGGCCACAAGTCCTCGCGCCCCCCCTTCCCCCGCCCAGCAGGAGCTGGGTCCGGGCTCTAGCTTTGCCCGCGCCCTTTGAGGTCAGCGCTAGTGACCCCGGACCCCCCACGCTAGTGACCCCGCGGGCGGCCGAGCGCGGAAGAGGCTACCCCAGAGGCGGCGCAAACTGAGGCCGGAGACCTGGGGCGCCCTGACCTGTCCGGATCTGCCCGGTCTCCGGGGATGCGAGCGGGGCCGGCCACATGGCGGCCCTGCCACCCGCAGCCCTTCTGCGCTCCCTCTGTTAGCTGCTTTCAGACCCGGCACCGGAGCCCCTTCCCCCACGTCGCACCCCCATCTCCTCCGCCTCGGTGGGGTGCGGGCAGGCGCGGCACCCTGGCCCCTAGGGACTCGGCACGCACCTCCCCGGGGGGGGGCACCGGCTGGGCACGGGGACACGCCCCAGGGGCAGCGAGCTTGAAGGCCTGGGCCAGGAGATGGCGCCCGGCTCCGAGGCGGGCCCGGTGCTATGCCCCGGTGGGCCGCCAGGTGGGACCCGCTAGCGGGGCCGGGCGCCCGGGGCTGGGCGAGGAGTCCGGCCTGCACCGGTGTGTGCCGGGGGGACCCCCACAGCCACTGACGGGGTTGGGGAGGCGCCCGGCACTGCCGGCCAGCCCCTGAGTCACTGCCGCCAGAGTGATGGGAGTGGCCGCTGACCTCAGCCAGTGCTGACGCAGGGACAGAGGGTGCGACTGGGGTCAGTCGGCCCCGGGGCCACGGAAGAGGGGCGGGCCAGGGCCTCGACTCAGCCAGACGGGGCCAGCCCACCCTGACGCCCAGGCACCTTCGGTCCACCCCAACGCCCCGGGGGACCTGGACCTGACGTGCATCCGTTGAATACACAGGGCTGGGGCCCAGGGGATGGGGATGTGGGCGTCCCAGCCGCCATATGCAGTCGGCTTCCTGGGCAGGCTCAGTTATTTCCACAGCTAGCCCCCTCCCTCCCAGGCACATGGCATTGATAACCAATTCAGAGAGAAGGGGAGGGGGCTCCCAGGCTGAGGCAGGTCACACAGCAGGAAAGACGGAGCCAGGATTGCAGCCACGGGACTCTAAAGCCAGCTCCTTACTCACCCCGCTGGCTATGGGACGAGGGGGGGGGGAGGGACAAGGAGGGGAGGGCGGGGGGGCGCCAGTGAGCCGATTCCACTTCTCCAGGGGCAGTCCCAGGGCTGTGAGCTGCGCGGCCACCCCAGGAAGTTGGGTGTGAGCACTGGAGTGCCACATCAGGGCAGTGGGGAGCCACAGAATGCCCTGGGGTGGGGTTGGGCGGGGGAACAGAGGTGGACCTGAAGGTGGAGTGGTGGAGGGCCGAGGCAGCCAGACTGGGCTCAGGTCCTTCTGCGGGAGGGACGGATGATGCTCTTGCGCAGTCGGAGGCCAATCCGCCTCCCTGGCTGACAGGTGGGTTGGCCCCAGCAGGTGCGTCCACATGGGACTGTGGGAGTGAGTTGTTGCTTGGACCCCCCCCCAGGAGCAGCCCCTCCCCATAAGCATCTGGAGTGAATCTGCCACTGTGCTGTGCTGAGCGCCTTCCCCGGCCCCCTCCTGCCAGGCCCCACTTGACACGGGGCTGGATTGAGTTTGGTGGGCCACCTAGCTGGGGAGGGGAGGCAGGGCCCTGTAAGTATGGTTTCGGGTTTGCGTAGCTGCACACCTGAATTACCCTACCTGGGGAGGGTAGTTTGGGGAGGGAGGGAATTCCACGCTGGAAGTGTGCCCTTGGATTTTGAAGGCCTGACCCCCTGTCTCTTCTTAGCCTATTTTGGGGAAATGGGTATCATTGGAGTTCTGGCCCAGTACCCAGGGTTGTTTCGTGTTTCTCTGTGAGGTTTTAGGCCTTTCTTTCCATTTCTGCTGCCGTGACATTTCTGGCTGTGCTTTTGGTGAAGTCCCCTTCTTGTTCCGGCCACTTCCAGCCCCTGGGCACACAGTGGCTTTCAGCTCTTGGGAAATTTCTTGCATTCTTTCTTTCAGTTTCTTTCCTGTTTTTTTTTTTTTTTCCTTTGGGATTTCTGATATGGGGTGTCCTAGCTCTTCCACGAGGCCTTTAATACTGTTACTGTTTCTCTGACCTGTTTCTCCCCCAGCTTTCTGGGATATTTCTTTGATTTCTTCTGACCCTACAATGGGATTTTTTTTTTATCCCAGTTCTAATAGTTTCTAACCCTTTTGTTTTGGGATAATTTCAAACTTACTAACTTTCTAACATTTACCACACTTGCCTTATTCTTTTTATCTGTCTTTTCACGTCTGAACCTTTTGGGAGTTGGTCTCAGACATTCCGCCCTCTAGGCTTCATATCTCAGCGCGTGTTTCCTGAGAACAGGGCATCGTCCTGCGGAACGACAGCGCGGTGGCCCACGTGCAGCCGTGGACAGGCCGCTGCCCTTCTCCTCTGCATCTCCAACAGCAGTTGCCCCCACTTAGCCCGGGGCCACCTGCGTCATCCAGGCGTCTCAGACCGCCCCCTGCTATGTCCGCTGGGCTTCTCTCTCACTCGCCCACCGCTGGGAGCAGCACCTAGGCGTGTGCGGGTTTTCCCGGGAAGCAGACCAGCATCGAGGCCTCGGGCTGGTGCTTGGCGCTGTCCCCCCCCAACCCCCTCCCCCGGGGGCCGTCCAACAGAGGAAGGTGAGCACTTGCACAGCCTTTCCCGCTGTAGGACGAGGAAACGCTCCATTCCTGTTTTGTCCCAGAAGTTCCTTTTGGATCTCTAGCGAGGTTCCAGGCACACAGTAGGTACTTAGTATGTGCCTGTGATGGTTGGTGTGAGGGGTCTGGTTCCGTCATGACGGGCTGCGCCCCTGCGCACAGCTGCGGTGCACGTGTGTGCACAGTTGCACGGGAAGGCTGGGGTGCGCAGAGGCGGCCCCAGTCACCTGCAGAGATGGGGGCTCCCAACTGCCTGCGCCGGGTGTGTCTTGAAGCCCAGGTGGACAGTAAATAGCCATCTAGTTTCTTGGAGTTGATCTGGTCCTGCTTCTGAGCCCCGTGCTGCCAGGGACTTGTTCTGAGACATTCTTGTGAATGCTCCCCTCTTGTTCTAGAAATATGCAAAGGTCCTGAGGTTTGGGTGTTGGATGACCACATTGGTTGCAGGGCATCTGGGCTTGCTGAGATGCCCTGTCCTGCCCTCGTGGTCCCTTCAGGGACTTTCAGCCTTGCTCGGGCCCTGGGACTCCTGGCAGGGCTCAGAGGCCTTGGTCCCCCCCCCCCCTCCCCTCCAGAAATAACCACCCCCTCCCCGGGACTTTATGATTTTACAAGAGACAAGAGCCAGGAGACTATACCAGCTTTCTACCCAGACAGCACGGCGGCGGGGGCGGGGGGCGGCTGCCCCTCCCAGCCAGCAGCTTCCCTTCAAGGGCGAGGAGACGGGCCACGCAGGAGAGGAGTCCACGGAAACCAGTATTTCATGAGCTGCCCTGCCTTCAGGAGGGGTGGGGGATGGGAGTGGGGCTGGGGATGGTGAGGGAAGGGAGGGGTCTTGGGGGATCCAGATGGTGGGGAAGGGAAGAGGGGATGAGTGCATTTTCATGTGGAGCAGGCTGTGTGAGATGCGGAGCCCCCTCCCCACACTCTTCATTCCAACACTGCCCTCTCCCTCCTGCCCTGCAGAAGGAAGCCTGTCACCCTAAACCGCCTGGAAGCCTCCAGTAAACCAACCCAGGCCCCGCCTGCCCATGTAAGTGGAACTTCAGAGTGGCCGAGCTCCGCCATGAAAAAATCATGAGGCAGCCAAGCCCCGGGCTTGTTTTCAGGAACAATGCAGGAGGCTGGGCCCTCGGCGCTGGCCAAGCTGGGCCCCAGGAACCGACGCTGGGCCTGGGAGCAGGGGAATCAGGGCCTTGGGGCCGGGCCAGCAGGAAAGCCCTGGCCTCGCCCTGGGGGCAGAGGCCCAGAAGGGGGCCTGCCAGAGTGGCCTGGCCATGGGAGGGCACAGTACCTGGGGCCGAGGGGGACAGGAAAGCAGGGCGGGGTCTTGGGGGTTTCCTCTGTGTGGAGTAATTCCCAGAGACTCGCTGGCCTGTGGGGAAGGAGGGGCACAGCGGGCATTGCTCAAGCAGGGGGCCAGGACCTGGGTCTGGGACAGGTGTGGCCCTGGGGGGTCTCTCCATCCTGGGCCATTGCCAGGCCAGCCCGAGTGGGGAGCCACCCCTTCCCCCAGCCAGCACGCACGTGGGGCCCGTGCCAGCTCAAGCCACCAGCAGCAGTGTTGCTCGGGCATCCAGCTTGGTACACACGCCAGTCGCCATGGCAGCACGCAGCATACTGGGCAGGAGCCCAGGCTGGGCGTAGCATCCAAGGCCAGCAGTCTAGATACGCGGGACTGGGAGTCCTTTCCCTGGTAGCCCCTCCAGGGGCCTGGCTGGGGGCGGGGGGGGGCCCTGCAAGTGGCCAGGCCTGCCCATCCGCCAGCATCCCAGGGGAGGAGCAGTTTCCTGAGAGCTCCTGGGTAGATGCCGGGGGGGCTGGGGGCTTCAGGGCCCTCTCTGCTCCTGGCCTCAGCTGGACCTCACTAAAACAGGCAGGAGGCCAAGGATCTGCCCCACCCTTGGCTGCTGGGAGCTTCCGAGAGCCGGAGTGACCCCTGCCTTCTAGGCCCAGCTCCAGCCAGCTGGGTCCATTGGCGGCTCACCACTCCACAAAGTGGGGGTCCAGGGGTGCTGCTTGCCTGGATGGCCTCTCTGTGCCCAGGAGGGAAAGCTATGCATGTTGAAGTGGGCGCATCAGGCAGCCTGACACCCGTCCTCAGGCCTTGTCCAGTGGTGGCAGACGATGGCCCAGGGCAATGCACACACACGGGGTACACACCCCGTCCCCCAGGAGGGCAGGTCCAGAGGTGAGTGGGTCAAGTGACTTTGGATGCCCCCGAGGGCATCCTGGACAGGCCGTAGGCCTCGTGTGCCCCTCGTGGGTGGCTGTGTGGACCCCTCTGGCCGGGGACACGTGTGTCCCTGAGGACACAGCCGAGGACACAGCCCACCACAGGCTCTCACAAGTAGCCCCTGACATGGATTCCCTTGTGCTGTACACAACCTGATCGCCATGCTGGGTGGCCATGAGCAGGTTAGGGTTGGGATCCAGGGAAGCTTTTCCAGGACCAGGGCTGGTCCAGCCACTGACCATGGCTCCCTCTGTCCTGCCCCACCCGTGTGCACCTTTACACGCACGCCCGCACCGGCATGCACACTGCCTCACCTCCCTGCAGAGGCTCAGTGCATCACACCGGATGTTCCCTGTACCTACTGTGCGCCAGAGCCTTACAGGGGATCCAGACGTGACCCCTAGCAGGCATCTGGGCTCAGGGCTTGGGTCCTGGGAGGTGTGGGGGGCAATCCATGCAACCTCCCTACCTCCAAGGAAGCCTGGGCTGAGAGGCCCACCTCTCAGGGTCCCCTTGGGGCCTGAGAGGTTCCCCCCTTAGCTCACACTGTGAGTCAGTGCCAGGCAGCCCCACACCATGCCCGCCCAGAACCGAGAGACCACAGCCACTTCTGGCTCTGCCAGCGAGGGGCTGCCTGGAGCCAGGCCCACTTAGAGCCTGGCAGCTGGGCTTCCTCCCACTGGGCACGGAATGCCCATGAACACCCTGCCAGTGCCAGTCTGTGCTATTGAGACCTTCACGCCAATCGGGCATCCCGGGCTCCTCCGGAGCCTGGGTGGGAGTTGGGGGTACAGTGGGCACAGCTGCCCCAGGCCCCCCGTGCACAGAGGAACAGAGCAGCGCCACTGAGCACCTGCTCCGCGGATGTTCCTGCAACCCTGGGAGGTGGCAGAGTGAGATCCAGCGAGAAACAGGTGTCAGCATCGTGGCTCGTACCCCCAAACCAGGGACGTGTGCCTGGCATCGAGGCTAGGCCTGGGCCCCTAGGACTTGGAGAATCTTATAAGGGCATTCTCTGTGGGGAGGGGATGCTACCCCAGACGGCATCTCCCTGCCAGTGGGCGCCTGGCACGCAGCCCAGCCGGGCACACAGGTGGTGCCCCATCAATGTGTGGAGGTTGCAGAGATGGACAGTGCTAGCTGTCAGGGAGCGCTAGACCAGCCCCGATGACCACCCCGCAGCGTGCACTGTGCTACTGGGGGATCGGTGCCCGGGTGTGTCTCCCAGAACCCCACTCCGGCCCTCAGTGTCTCCCTGTACCTGGCAGGGCTGCTGCCCAGGGCTCAGAGAATGGAGGAAGGACTCCTGATCTTGTCTGCCCTGCCCGCCCCTGGGGCCTGCACATGCCCAGCCCAAGGCCCTTGCACTTGGCTGGACCCCCACAGCATGGGGCCCTGTCATGGCCTCCAGAGGGGCGGAGCGGAGCTGCCTGAGGCATCAAGGGCCCATGAGGCTGTGGCTGGAAATGCCCGTGGCCCCGAGCCCATTCCCCGAGGGAAGCCTGAGGGTCACACGCTGCAGTGAGGAAGAGGGCACCGAGGCTGGCCCGGGCCCAGGCCGGGCAGCTCTGGTTTCGCTACTTGGCTCCCAGCCCCTGAGGCAGGTGCAGGAGACAGACGGGCGGGGTGCGGCTGAGCAGGCCCCTTGCGGGTCCCCGAAGACGGCCCCCCTGGGCTCAGCGGGGAGGGAGTCTAGCCAGGTGGCCCCAGTGGCTGGGCCTGGGAGGTGCTGGGGTCAGGGGGGGCCAGCTTCCGGCCTCTCCTAGCCTGCTAGCCACAGCCGTCTGCTGAGAGGGCTCTGCCCCACAAACCCCCCAGGGCCAGACCCTGTGAAGATGCTGCAAGTCCGGCCAGTCGCCCCAGCAACATGAACCCCAACAGAATAGGGGTCCCAGGCCCATGCAGCAAGGTTGGCTTCACTCTAGCTCACCCAGGGAAGGGGAAGCAGCCTCGTGGGCTCCTTGAGGTGCTTACGGCACAGGGGTCAGCCCAAGGCCTGGTCCTCTGACCCCGGGTCCGACAGCCCGCCGCCTTCAGGATGATACCTGCTCACGCTCTTGTGTCACCTTCCCGCTGCGTGGTCCTTCAGGCGGTCCAGGGGCCCTCTCCCGGTCCCACAGAGCCAGGCCGCCTGGCCTGATGTGAGTGCGACCCTGGCTCGGGCCGGGGTGCCACGGGTGCCAGGATGGGCGCGCCTGGGCACACCTAGATGCTCCCTGGCACCATGACCCCTGGCTGTCACGTTCCTAGTCCAGGCCACCCTGGGGGAGGTGTTGGGCCCAGGGCTGCAGGCTGCAGCCGAGGAGTCGCCAGGGGGGACGGTATGGGACTCCAGCTCCAGGCTGCCTGAGTTGGGGGGCCTTGCCGGGCTCCTGGCCCCAGGAATCAGAGAAGCCGTAACTGGATCTGGCCGAGGATCTGGCGGCTGCTGAGGGTGGAGGGCTGTGATCAGGTTGCGGCCTCGCTGAGTTTTCCACCAGGCAGCTTTCTCTACGTTGGGAAGGAGCTGGGCTGGGCTGCTGAGTCTGTGCAGTGGGTCTGGGGGCCCTGACGCGGGGGACAACCAGGAGAAAGCCCAAGAAGCGCAGGGGCCGGGAGGCGGGGCCCGGGGCTCGGGCTGTAGGCCTGGGCAGCCGCCAGTGAGGCCGGGGAGGTGGTCAGCCCCCGGCGGGCGGAGCTCTCCACCCCTGCAGGCCCTGGGGCTCCGGCTGCTGGGGCAGTCCACGAGTGGCTGAAATCCAAGCTGGGGTAACACAAGGCAGCCGCTGTCCCTAAGCCGGCATAGCTCTGATCCGCCCTCCGCCCGCCCTCTGCCGCCCGCGGGCCTGCAGCCGCTGGTCAGAGGGCAGCGGGTCCATGACGCCGGCCGGGCCTCTGGGGGACCTCGGGGGCCGTGAGCACGCGGAGAGAGCCTCCCAGGCCCCTCGTGGGGCGCTGGGCCGGCTCTGAGGATGCCCACCAACGGCCTGCACCAGGTGCTGAAGATCCAGTTTGGCCTCGTCAACGATGCTGACCGCTACCTGACGGCCGAGAGCTTCGGCTTCAAGGTCAACGCCTCAGCACCCAGCCTCAAGAGGAAGCAGACGTGGGTGCTGGAGCCTGACCCGGGGCAGGGCGCCGCTGTGCTGCTCCGCAGCAACCACCTGGGCCGCTACCTGTCCGCCCAGGAGGACGGGCGCGTGGCCTGCGAGGCGGAGCGGCCGGGCCGTGACTGCCGCTTCCTGGTGCTGCCACAGCCCGACGGGCGCTGGGCGCTGCAGTCGGAGCCGCACGGCCGCTTCTTCGGCGGCACTGAGGACCGGCTGTCCTGCTTCGCCACGGCCATCTCCCCGGCCGAGCTGTGGACCGTCCACCTGGCCATCCACCCGCAGGCGCACCTGCTGAGCGTGAGCCGCCGGCGCTACGTGCACCTGTGCCCGCAGGAGGACGAGATGGCGGCCGACAGCGACACGCCCTGGGGCGTGGGCGCGCTCGTCACCCTCCTCTTCCAGAACCGGCAGTACTGCCTCCAGTCCTGTGACGGCCGCTACCTGCGCAGTGACGGCCGCCTCGTGGGGGGGCCCGAGCCCCACGCCCGCTACACGCTCGGGGTCAAGGCGGGCAAGCTGGCCTTCAAGGACCGTGACGGCCGCTACCTGGCACCCGGGGGGCCCGCCGGCACGCTCAGGGCAGGCCGCAGCACGCGGCCGGGCAAGGATGAGCTCTTCGACCTGGAGGAGAGCCACCCGCAGGTGGTGCTGGTGGCCGCCAACCACCGCTACGTGTCCGTGCGGCAAGGTAACGGCGCGGCAGGCCAGCCACGCCGACCGCGGTGCGGGGGCTCGCCTGGGGTGGTGGCATCATCGTGCCCTCGTGGGTGGTGGCCAGTGGGTGGCAGCACACGGTGCAGGTGGGTGGGCCTTGGGCCACGCGTGGGGGTCCCGGCGGAGGGCTGCTGGCTTCCGAGTCAGGAGGAGGGGTTCCTTCTCAGGACCACTGAGCCCACGGTGCGCTGGACAGCCGCGGAACGCAGGACAGCGGTGCCCAGGCCCGCGGCCGTGAGGGGCAGGAGGGCAGGTCCTACCCCCTCTTCTCTTCTGCTGGTGGGATGGTGAGGGACGGCGCCGGATGGACTCTGCTTGCTTCCCTGGACCCCCTGCATCTGACTGTCTCTGTCACGGGGGCATCCCCTACTAAAGACGGGATCTGCCTTCCCCTGTAAAAGCCAGAGGGACCCCATATTTGCCTGCTCGCTTCCTTTGCAATAGCCCTAGGGCATGGGACCTGCCCCCCAGATGTTCAGTGTTGACTGGCCAGTGAGTGGTTGAGGAAGCAGGATGTGGCCTGTCAGTCTGGGAGAGGAGGCAGCTGGAGCTGCGGGTTCTGCCGAGTGCTGGTGCCTTGATCCCAATAATTTTGCTGGCCAGGCAGCCCCCAAACCTGTCTTCTTCCGCATGGGGTGTCTGGGAGCACCCTGGCTGGCCTTCGATGGCACAGTGGAGCTCACAGAACGGTCCCCAGGGGCTCAAGCCATGAGGACGTCACCCCATATAAACAGAAGTCTGGAGGCACGGGGGTGGTGGGGTCCCAGGGAGAACACCATCGCCGGCTCAGGGGCATCTTCAAACCCTTCACTCCTCCTTGTGGAGCTGTTCATGGGGGACAGCTCTGACCTCGGGCTGGTGGCCTCGTGGTCACAAGACAGCTCTGCTATTCCAGCAGACAGCTGTGTGAGTTGGAAACCCCTTGGCCACAGTCTGTCTGGAGGGGGTGTGAGGGGCGATGCTGGGGATGCCAGTGGGGTGTGCCTCAGAGGGGCCGTGGTGCAGGTGTGCAGCCCGACTCAGGAGCCCTCTCTTCCTGCCCTCAGCACCCGCGGGGACGGGGCTCCCACCTCCTCGGTCTGTTTCAGTGTCACCTTCTCCACGAGCCGTCCCAGTAAAGGCCCCGGCACCCGCGGGCATTGCACAGACTGTCTTTGTTGTCTGAGTTATTAACTGCTGATCACATGCCCGAAGCATCAGGTGCTCACTTAGTTCAGTGCTGCCGATGGGACGGCGGGGGTGGCGGGCATTCATGCAAGGAGGGAGACAGACCCCTATCTGGGCGGCTTTGGAGGGAGCAGCCTCGGGAGCTGGTGAAGGACGGCAGGTCTCACCCTCTCCAGCACAGGCCCTCCTGGTGCCCGCCCTACCTTCCCGGGGATGGGGCTGGACAGGATCTGGCCCCCATTTCCTCCTGCTCCACCAGCTGGACGTGCTGGAGCCCGGCCTCTTCGGGGAGCTGTGTGATCTGCCACATCACCGGAATCAGGAGCGTGGTTTATGGGAAAATACTAGAGAGATGCCAGTGCCTGCCCCCTGCTCCCCACCCTGGGCATGGATGCCCCCAGTTCCCCCCTTCCAGGAACTCCAGGCAGAGCCCTAGACAGCCTTGCCCTCCCTCAGGACTCCCAGGAGACCACACATGTGAAAAGGGGGCTGGGGAGGGGACAGTGGATCGGCCTCTACTCTGTGCCCAGGAGTGGACCCCAGGCCCCAGCTGTGCCCTGGGCCATGGCTTGGGGAAGAAGAGGGACCCCACTGTGCCCACCCAGTGGCTTAGGAGTTATAGAGGCTGGTCTAAGTCCTGGATCGAGAAGGCAGCAGCAAGCAGATTACCTGATGATTAGCAGAGGCAAGGGATTTGCTGGCACGGAAGGTCTGGCTCCTGGGGCTGTGGTAGGAGCTAGGCCAAGGACCTTTAGGGAACTGGATGTAGGAGTCTGCGGTGTGCCCACATGGCCATGGGCACTGCCTCCTACCCTCCAAGAAGTGCCTTCCAAATCTTAACCCCAAAGGGTTCTAGATGAGACCCCCTCTGCCTTCAGGGTTTTCCCAAGAGCATGCTTTTCCCCATCTTTCTGCTCCCCACCCCCCACCCAGGGAGAGGCGCGAGGGGCTTCCCATATTCTCCCTCCAGGGGTCAACGTCTCAGCCAACCAAGACGAAGAACTGCATCATGAGACCTTCCTGATGCAAATTGACCAGGAGACAAAGAAGTGCACCTTCTATTCCAGCACCGGGGGCTACTGGACCCTCGTCACCCATGGGGGCATCCACGCCACAGCCACACAGGTGTGAGTGCACCATCCCCATCTCCACCACCACCACCATGCTCACCATCACCACCTCCGTCACCACCACCTCCATCACCACGCCTCCTCCACCACTTCCACCATCACCACCTCCACCACCACCACGTCCACCATCACCACCACTTCCACTCACCAGCACCACCACGATCACCAACACCACCACGCCTCCCCTACCACCACCATGATCACCACCACTACGCCTCCTCCATCTCCACCATCACCTCCACGACCACCACCACCTCATCACCTCCGTCTGCACCAGCACCTCCACCATGAGGACCACTGTGGCAGCCTGGCCAAGAAAGAATGCCCATTGGGGCAAGGGGAGGCTCTTAATGGTGGTGGGTGTGTCAGTGGAAGGCAAGTGCCCACTTCTCCCCCTGGGGCTTGGTGCTGGGCCTGAGGAGGATGAGAAAGTCTGACCCTGAGCTCCCCCACGTCCTGCTGCTCTGAGGGGACTTTACCCTGACCTTCCCAGTTCTGCCAACACCATGTTTGAGGTGGAGTGGCGTGGCCGGCGGGTGGCCCTCAAGGCCAGTAATGGGCGCTATGTGTGCATGAAGAAGAATGGACAGCTGGCGGCCACCAGCGACTTTGTGGGTGAGCACTCCTCAGTCCCAGGGAACTGGGGCTGGGCCCTCTGCCCACGGACCCCTGTCACCTAAGAATTGGGCCCTCCTCCCTGTACAACTGCCCAGGTGGCCCTTGGCAGGAGTCACACTTGCTGGTCAAGATAATCACTGTGGACATCAAGAAGCAGTCACAGCCCAGAACTTGTCTCCACTGTATATTTGGGGAACCTGGGGCTTGGTGGCGGCAGGCCTCTTGCCAAGGTCACATGAGGTCATGGCAAGAGCAGATATAGACCCCCTCCGCCCCCAGGCCCCACCCACCCTACCCATCCCAGGAAGGCAGTGGGCAGGCAGTGGCCCCTCAGCCCCTACTCCCCGCCAGGTGACGACGAGCAGTTCATTCTCAAGCTCATCAATCGGCCCATCCTCGTGCTGCGGGGCCTGGACGGCTTCATCTGCCACCGCCGTGGCTCCAACCAGCTGGACACCAACCGCTCCGTCTACGAGATCTTCCATCTGAGCTTCAGCGACGGCGCCTACCAAATCCGAGGTGCGGACCGGAGTGCGCGGGGCGCAGGGAGGAGGCTTCTGCGGGGAGGGGAGCGCAGGGCGCGGGGGGGGGCTGGGGGGGACAGGGGCCGCGGCGCCGGGCGGCCCCCCCCGCCGACCCCGGCCCGCCCCGCAGGCCGCGGCGGCGGGTTCTGGTACACCGGCAGCCACGGCAGCGTGTGCAGCGACGGCGAGCGCGCCGAGGACTTCCTCTTCGAGTTCCGCGAGCGCGGCCGCCTGGCCATCCGCGCGGGGAGCGGCAAGTACCTGCGCGGAGGCGCCTCCGGGCTGCTGCGCGCGGACGCGGACACGCCGGCCGGGCTCGCGCTCTGGGAGTACTGAGCGGGCGGCGCGCCCGTCCTCCCATTAAACCGTGTCTGTGACGCAGCGGCTGGCGGGCTCCGTAGCGCCGCTCACGCGGGGAGGGCTGTGCGCGGAGGGCCGGCGCCTCTGCCCCGGGGGGGGGGGGGGGGTCCCGGCCGTGGCCCTCCACCTCCCCATCCCTCAGCGCAGGACACCCAGGGCAGGCGAGAGTGGCCGGGAGGCGGGCCCAACGGGCGGGACACCCCCGCCCCACCCCGTCCCCTTGTGGGCGGGGGCACCCCGGCACCCCCTGGGCCCCGCCCCCGCCCTGTGCGGGCACCACACAGCTGCTCCCGGAGACCGAGCGGAACTGGGGTGGGGAGGTAGGCTGCTCACAGGGTCTGGGGATGAGGTACCCCCCCGACGGCTCTCCTCCCCAGGGGCAGGGTCTTAGGGAATCCCCCGCGCACCTGAGGCGAAAGCGACCCCACCCCTCCCAAACAGGGTGTGAGTGGCCAACCCTGGGGAGAAGGCCCCTCTCAGCCCAGACAGGGGGCTCCCGGTCTCCCACTCCCACCCCACGTGTGGCTCTCACCCCCCAGTCACAGACCCCAGAGAGCCTCCACCCACCTTGCCCCAAGCAGGATGGATGCCAAGACAAGGTCTGTGGTCCACCAGCTGGCATCCAGGCACTTGCCAGTCCCCATGGACCCCCACCCAGGCCAATGCCTCTTGGCTGGGTTGGGTGACCCAGGCCATCAGAGGAGAGCCGAGTGGGAGACGTGGAACCTGGGGGCTGGGGGAGGGGGTAGGACACGGCCATGTGGCCTAGGGCCTGAAGGGAGGATGAGACCAGATGCCCAAGTTCCCTCCCCATGCCTGGGGCCTGAAAACCCCCACCAGTGAGTCCAGCCAGTGTGGTCCAGTCGGGACTGGGGTGCTTTGGGAAGGGCCTGCGAGGCAGGGAGTGCAGATGTGCCCAGAGTGGGGAGGAAGGGACCCCTCCCTTCCCCCCAGCCTCTCCCCAGCGCCCTCCTCAGCCCCACCTGCTCCTGACCCCACTGCCCACCCCCCACCCCCGCCTTAAGGACAGAGGAGCTGGACCCAAGTGGGCCCACTGGTCAAGGTGGGCTTAGTTAACCCTTCGAGGACCAGACACCAGAGCCCAGAGGCTGCAGAGGAGACAGGTGGCTGCCTGAGCCACAGCCTGTGCTGCCCCCTGGTGGCGTCCAGGGCAGGAGGGTTGGGGGCTCACCCGCCCAGGGCTTGCCACCAGTAATGTGTGAGGACTCCCCTCTGCTGACCTCTGCCAGAGGGTGCACTTGGCCTCAGACCCTTGCTGAGCGGGGGAGGGGAGGCAGGGAGGAGTGCCCCGGGGGTCCCCAGAAGGGCCAGCTGGGGTGGCAGTAGGGATGCCCCTGCACCTGGGAGGAGAGAGGCTGGGACAGCGCAGAGGCCGCTCTCCGGCGGGCCGGGGCTGTGTGGGGGATGGTGAGCCACGCACAGCAGAGACTGGCTGAGGGACCCCTGGCGCTCACTGTGGCATCCTGTCCCTGATGGGGCGCTGACCGGGCACCCCAGCACAAGGCTCCCAGGGAAGCTCCGGCCGAGCTCTGTCCTGTGTCCCATTTGTCCTCACCGCCCCCCCCTCCCCCCGGTCTCCCCTCATTCATGAAGGTTTCACAAGATTCCACTTTATCTCCTCTCAGCTGGTTAGGTGTCCGGGTTGTGGGTCTCCTTTTCTGGAGACTAGGTGGTGGGCCTCCAGTGACGGCCCTGCCCCCACCCCGCCCCACCAGGTGCCTCCTGCCAGCAGGCAGGGGGAGCACCCCTTCCCACTGCTGCGTCTCCGCCCCGGGGAGGACGAGTGCTCACGCCTCTCCAGGGTTACCCTTGTCGGCAGGAGCCAGGAGCGAGCGAGCCTGCCTGTGTGGGGAGTGGGATGGTGGGGCCCAGGGGCAGCCCAGTGAAGCCCGGGGGCTGGGGGACGTGCTTCCAGCGCTGCTCGGCCCACACCCCGCATCCGTGCCCAGCACCGCCCAACCTCCGGCGTGCAGTCTGTGTGGCGGCCACCCACTCTCCCGACTCGTACCCGGACTCCCCACTGGGCCCTCTCCCTGCTTGGGGTTGAGGGACTCGCACGCCCCGCAGGCCAGGTGGGCACTTCGCCCCAGTGCTGGGGGACCCCTACCGGCCCCCACGACCGCAGAAAGACCAAGGCAGGGTTCATCCAAGCATACCCCTGGGGAGGCCCAGAAATGCAACTCGGAGCGGCCGCCCCAAACAGACACGCACCCAGAAGCCGAGGCAGCTCGATCCGGAGAGCACACTTGTTCTGCAGCAGAGGAGCCTCGCAGCTCCCGCATGCGCAGGACAGCACCATGTCAAGTCCAAACGGGGTTCACCCCCCCACTGCTAGCTGCACCAACACCACAGGGAGGCAGCTGGGGGGCTGCAGCCCACCCTGAGGGGCCCTGGAAACGATGCACAGTGCTGGGCGCTGGGTGCAGCCCCGGCCAGGAGCACCTACTGGGTGAGGGTGGGAGCCACAGGGGGCGGCGTCCCAGCTGGTAGCTTCAGCAGCAGCAGACGCAGGGCTGAGGGGCCCTGAGGGGGACAAAGGGGTCTGCGCGTGGGTGGACAGGCAGCGGGGCGGTGGGAACAGCAACGGTCACAGACACAAACCCACGAGTCCCGACCCCAGAAACCTTCTCTGTGGCCCGACTTCTGCAGGGAGCGGAGGCCGCTGATCCAGCCCCAGTGCTCCAGGCCAGAGACTGCCCAGCTCGACCTGGTGCTGCGGGGAGCCATGGGCGGCTGTCCAAGGGAGAGGAACGCTGTGGGGTGGCTCGGGCCAGGGCGGACGGGGCCGCAAGGGCAGAGCCCGGTGCCCCAGGCGCACGTACCACACCCACCCCGCCGCCCCGTGCCTGTGAACAACGCGCTTTACACACACCCTGGAGCAGTCGTGGGCCCCGTGTCCCGTTCAGTGGCCCAGCTCACCTGCCTTCCCCCACCCCACAGCCACAGCCAGGGTCAGGAGGCAGGAAGTAGCCTCTCGTGCCCTGGGCGTCTGTTCGTAAAGCCACGAGGGCGCCTGGCTTGTGGCAGGGGGCGGGGCCCACGAGGCGTCACAGCAGGAGGAGGCTGGGGCTCCGGAGCTGCGCGTACACCTGTAGGAGCCTCTCGGCGGTGCCACAGGAGCTGGCTTCGTCCTCTGTGCACAGCCGGTCCCGAAGGGCCTGCACCTCCCGCAGCAGAGTCTGCAGGTGGGGGCAGGCGGCAAGAGCTCAGAGCCCCCACCTCCCTGCTGGGCATGGCCCCTGGGGGACACCCATGATGCACAAATCCTACTTGGGATATGGCAGGTGACTTAGGAATGCAGGGGACATGCAGCCAGGCCCCCCTCCCCAGGTGACAGGAGGGGCCTAGTGAAGGTGGACTGGCAAGAGGTGCAAGGCGGGAGACAGAAGTAACCGCACCCACCCCGCCCCCTGCCCCGACGCTAGGCTGAGGACTGGGCAGGCCCCTCACTGTGCCAGGTGACACCTGTGTTCCCAGAGGATCCCAGCCAGGGATGGTCCTCCCTGACCAGGCTGGTGGGAGGCTCCAGGGACGGGAGCTGGAGGGGCCTCACCTCATGATTGATATGGATCTGGCGGAGATACTGCACACGGAGATCAGGTGGGCTGGAGCTCTGGGCAGCCTGCTCCACAACCATCCTCTGGGGGCAGGGGCAGACAAGGGGCAGGTGGCTGGAGAGGATACTCCCCCATCTGGAGCTGGCGCCTAGAGCTCCTGGCACCTGTCCTTCAGCACTGCACCACCACCTCCAAGGGCCCCTCTGTGTCTTCCGCTCCAGCCCCAGCCTGACAGTGGAGGACTTGGAAGTCAGTTTCTCCTAAGTTGCTGTCCCCCCACCCTCCTCCCTCATCCCCACAGAGCCACCTTCCACCACCCCATCTCCCATTCTTCGTCCCAGGCCTGGTGCCTACTGCCCTCAAGGGGGCCACCCAACCTGCCCCATTGGCACATCCCCTTGGCACAGCCCGCTGTGGGGCTGGTTCTTGTCCCGCATTCCGGGGGAAGCCCAGGCAGCTCCTGGGGGCTCAGATCCAAGTTCCCAGACAGCATTAGGCAGCAAGGCCCCTGCTGGCCTCTGTGGCAGGCCCTGCACATCTGGCAGGGTCCCCCAAACCCTGAGCGTCCAGGAGAATACAAACTGGTTCTCAGGTACACTCCCGTCACGGGGAGCAGGGCGTCAGCTGACGGAGGACAGACTGGGGTGTGCAGCCCATGTGAGGATGCCCCTCAAGGGAGCATCTGCAGCCCTCCCTATTAGGAGCCAAATTCACCTGGGAGTGCTGCCCCCAGCGGCTCAGAGACTATACTTGGACATGAGGTCTCTGCAAATGAACGAGGTAGGGCGAGCTCATGTGGGGCGCGGGAGGGGCCGAGTCTAATAACAAGCGATCAGGACACAGGGGACAGTTACGTGCAAACATGGGGCGAAGCCATTTGCGTGACGTGGAGAGTGGCCTTGGCCTCCAGCACTGAATTCCTGCTGTTTGTGCCCCGTCTGTGGCTGTCATGGCAACACCAGGCCACTAACCTGCCCCTCCTGCCGGGGGTCCAGTCAACACACTCCTTCCCCCAGCATCACACTGACCACGCACCTCCTGACCACCATGCTCATGCTCGGCAGGGTCTGGAGACAGCCTGGGTGTCCCTGTTGGGCAGAGCCTCCTCCAACAGCTCGAGGCACTTGGAACTACATTCCTGAGCTACGTGTGCCGCATTGGGCCCATCATGGCGCCACACGGGGTGGCTGCGGTGGCCACAGGCTCCTGAGTGGCATCCACCTGCCTGGGTGCACCGGTGGGTCTAAACCAGCAGCACTCAGGTCCTCGTCAAAGCCTAAAAACCTAGCCTGCAGATTCTCCGATTCTCAGGGTCTGGATGGGGCCTGGGAATGTGCATTGGCAAGTTCACAGGTGAGGCTGAGTGCTGCCACTGCAGAGTCCTCTGTGGCCACCAGGGCCACAGTCAGAAGAGGCGGGAGGAGATGGGCCAGCCAGCCCTGG